CCACCCAAAACTGCCCACAGGCACAGTCTATCTGTGTTACGGACTCACTGTGGGTTAGAATTGACTCAATGACAGTGAGTTTTTGAGGACAAAGATCCTGAAGCATTTCTTGGAAGAATGATATAGGAAATGAAACATGGCTTTACCAGTATAATCCTGGAGACACAGTGCAACCAAAGCAACTGGCTACCAAGAGGTAAAAGTAGTCAATAACAAAGGTCATGGAAACGGTGTTTAGCTGCTTAAGGTAGTCTGCTTGTTGACATTCTGGAGGGCCAAAGAATGGTGACATCTGCTTATTAGGACAACGTTTTGAGAACGGCAGCCAAAGCTTTAGCAGAACAATACCCAAGAAAGCTTCACTAGAGAGTCCTTTTCCAATACAATGCTCTCATCAAACAAGGGCATTTTTGATGAGAGCATTGTGTTGGGTAATCTCTTCAATCTCACCATTCCTCTCATCACACAGGGGCAATTTTGCACGTTTCAATGGGAAATGATTGGGCATTCCTCTTCCAGCCCTGATTTGGCTCCTTCTGATGACTTTTTGTTTCCTAATCTTAAAAAAAGTCTTTAAAGGGCACCACAGTTCTTCAGTTAATGTAACAAGACTGCACTGACATGGTTGGATTCCCAGGACCCTCAGTTCTTTAGGGATGGACGAAATGGCTGGTATCTTGACACACAAGTACCCAAGTATCTTGACCTTTTTATATTTTAATTCTAATTCTTTCCCCAAGAACCTTTTGAACATAGGTGTTCGTGAAGCTTCTGTTCATCAGACACACACTGTTTCACTCTTGTCTCTGTTTTTTTTCCATGAATGGTTCTGGCTCTTCTGCTTAGAACACTTGTACACTTCCTGTCCTCAAACACCACCCACCTAGCTCCTGGGGGACTCAACACGGACATTCTGTCTTTAGAGAAAGCAGGGAGGGGTTACCTTATTTTTAAACAAATAAAACACATGCTCTATGTTTTTTGGCGAAGCAGCCCTCCTCTTGAAAGGTTTTTCCTAAGTGCTATGCTAATTTTTATAACAACATGAAAAAAATTAGCATAGTTTGCTGGGGGGAGAGGAGGGATGGGAGAACCAAAAAAAAGAAAAAAGGTGGTAGTGGTTTGTCACTTGATGGTAGACTCCCCTCTTCTGCTTCCGGTGCCCATGGGCACACCATTCAGATCCTATCAGAGCACTTACCACCCCCAAGCTCCATATGGAGTTGCCCTCCTCCTGGACTAGACTACGTTCCCTTGCGGGCATGGACCACACATTACTCATCTGGTTCCTCAGCGTCAGGAAGAAATGCTGGCTAACTTAATGACCCCAGAGAGATGGATTGACACAGTGGCCGCAACAATGGGCTCAAGCATAGAAACAATTGTGAGGCTAGGGGAGGGCGGTGCAGTGTTTGTTTTGTTGTGCATAGGGTCCATATGGGTCAGAAGCGGCTTGATGGTACCTAACAACAACACAACATCAACAACTTGATAATCCAATGAGTTCTGTTGCCTTGTCATTCATGTCCACAATAAAGAACCCAGGAGACTTAGTGCACGGAACCAGAATCCTAAAAAAATTTCAAATTATTACCATCTACTGTGAAAACAGGAAAACCTCCTACGGGAACCAGTGACCGAGAATGAGAGCCATGACCTGCTCTCCCAAGTTCTACCCAGCTGGAGACAGAGTGGGCTTCACCGGCAGCAGCCAGGAGGGAAAGCCAGGCCAGCCAGGAGGCTAGCTTACAAAAGCTCCAGGATCCCGAGAAAAGGAGACAGAGGGAAGTATTTCTTTACCAGGGTGGGATGGCCCTTCCTATGAAGAGCAGAGACTTGGGGTCTTCAAAATGACATATAATTTCATCTTCCCTTTTGGCCTTATTACCAATTTTATACCTTGGCCCCCTCCCCCTCTTCAAAAGGATTGAGATGGTTGCTATTTTGGGGGGTGGGGGCGGTTTATGTCTGTATCAGGCATTTTAATAAAGAAAAGGCATCCTAGCTGTATTATCCTCGAACCTTCTCAAGTTTGTTCTCTTTATCTGCAAAACGGGGATAACTATGATCATATTGAGTTACCGTGGCTTTCAAATCCTGTAGGATATGTAGAAAATGTAGCCCAATGACTGTCACATAGTAGGTGTACAATCAACGAGAGCTGCCTTACTATGGTACCCGGAAGGGCAAGGTCCTGAGGCTGTCTGTGTGTCTGAGAACTGCTAAGGAGAACCCAGAACTGTACACAGCGGACAAGGACCACAGGATGCCTGACATTTCTAGAATGTTTGTGCCACCCCCAGCTGGTCCATTTCTTGTCCTCTTACTTCATTCAAGTCCTTAAGTGAAAAGGCCGGAGTGTTTAATGTTTTCTGGAGGAAGGGAGTGAAATTCTAAGAGACAGGGGAAAAGCGCTTAGGAGAGGAAAAAACAGCTGGAATGTTTGAGGGCTGACACAACAGGGCATGCCTGTGGGCCTCACTCTGAGGAATCCATCACTCCAAACCTGGCAGAGAGCATCTCTCTGTACCCAGCGAAGTATGATACATCACATCAGTTTGGGGAATGCTCTGTTTAGACACTGGGTAGTCCTAGCTAACCTGACCCAGATACCCAGTCTGTGGCATGTGTAAAGGACACTGGATTCTTTCTGTGACGGTGTGGTTACCCTCTATCTTTTACCTATAACGAGAATCCCAGTTTCTGGCCTTAGTCCACACTCGGACAAGTTAAGTTGCCTGGATGTGGGTCAGATGGGAGTGTTCTGAGGCACAGGGACAATGGTTGCTTGCCCGATAGTCTGTACCACAGGCAGTGGTTCTAACCCTTGGTTTGGGCATTATAGTCACCTTAGAGCTTTACAAAACAGATGCTTCAGGGTCACCCTAGACCTACTAAGTACCTCAGTGGTGGGGCAGGGGCTATGTCGTTTCTAAAAGCCCCACAGCAGAGCCCTGATGGCACAGTGGTTCCATGTTGGGTTGCTAACCATAAGGTCTGCAGGTTGAAACCACCAGCCTCGTGGGAGTCAGAGGAGATAATCTCACAAAGTGTTACAGTCTCAACAAGGGGCAGGTCTACTCAGTCCTATCGGGTCACTATGGGTCGAAATCCACTCGGTAGCAGTGAGTCTGAGGTCTGTGACGAGCTCCTCGCTGAGAACTGAAGCCAAGGTGGAACACACTACCCGTGGAAGGGTCACAGTTGGTGGGAAGTTTCACACATGGACATGGGAGAAGCTGTCTGTTTCTACGTGGCATCTGCCCCTAGAGCAGTTTGCGCTAACTTCCCTTGCTCTGCAAGATGAAAGGCTCAGTCACGAGGATCTGTCCTTGGTTCTGTTGGGCAAATACCTTCTCTCTGCCCGCTAAGCCTCGCAGGCCTTTCTCCAGGGTCGCTGAACATCTAAGAGGCCTTCATCACCATCACACACCCCACTCTGCCCTTCTTTTACACACGAGTGTACTTAGGTGTACTTCCTGCTGGTGCTCACTTCAGATTTCACATTACTTTGGGAGCACTAACTTCATGGCATGCCCTGCATTAGAAACGTGGGCGACAAGCCCGTGAGTGGCTTCCTAAGCCTGCTTGCCTGAGAATGCCCACACGAAGCGCATTCCTGCAAGTGGAGGCACTTTCACCAGCGCTTCACCAGCTATCACAGCAGCCCCCTGCGGGAGTTGTCCTCCCCACATGGTGACCCATGACCTCCCATCAACCTGCAATCTGGGGCTTATTGACCGAGAATCTTATTTTCTCAATATTCTTTCCCATGCATGAGGCTAGGCTGAGCACAAGACCTTGAAACTATCCCAGGCTTATGCCATTTCAGCTGTCACATCATGTAGCCTAGATTTTAACCATTCCAATAAGTTCATGTTTGCTGAGCCTTTAGAAAACAACCCAATTGTTTGCTGGGAATCAAAGCAGAGTTCTCCATGAGGGACTGCAGACAGGCATGCAGGTGCTGTGAGGGGAGCACACGAGATTGATTAGCACTATGAATTAGGCTGGATGGGCTCCATCTTTTCTTTCTTTCTATTTTTTTAAACAACGGTGAAATTAACAATCAGAGAAGCTAAGCAACTAGCCACACACACACAGCTATGGCAGGTAATGGGAGATGGGATTTCAGGTCTTCGGATTTCCAGGGCAGGGATTTTGCGTTCAGTCCCCTCCAGGAGCCCCACTTGTTCTTCAGAAGAGCTAAAGTGGCTTACAAGCAGATTTAGAATAGTAGTTGACAACGCACATAACTGCCTTTCAAGTCAACAACATGAAAATCCAGAGAAATTGGAGGGCACAAACATAAAAGCGGGCTCAGGGAGGCTGAGCGACTGGTCCCAGATCCAACAGCTCTCAGGACACTGGGTCTGTATTCGACTCTAGGTTGGTTTAGCTCCCAAACTGAGTTCTCTTTACTAAGCAGGCAAGGTGCATATCTAAAACAGCGAGAGGGACATCACATGAACCAGCAATCCTGTAAAATGGAAACTGGTTTCTGACATACAGTACTGAGCGGAAGGGTACAAATGAAATAATGGACATGTAAAATCATGAAAATCCCTTCCACAGGTGCATGGAACTTTAGAAATTAAAGCATACTAGAAGGTGGGAACTCTGGGAAGTCAGCCAGTCAGACCTGGGTTCAAGAGCCGACTGTCACTGACTGGCTGTTTGACCCCGCACAAGTGATTTCACCTCTCTTATGCCTCAGCTTTCTCATCTGCAAAATGGAGAGAAATCAAGTACTCTCCCTCAAATGAGAGCCCCCACTTAATTAAACAAGGACTGTCAACAAACGTCAGTCATTAGGACTGAATTATTCCCTTATCATCGTGCCCCGCGGGGTCTTCTGCTACGGAGAGGCACGGACTTTCTGAACTCCCAAACACCGAGTTTCAGTGTCCGTTTGGCAGGTTCCGCTGCCGCTCCTCAGACCCTACCCCCCGCTGCTCCCCGGCCGGTCTCCAACCACACCAGGAACCCCGGCCTCTTACTCGACGACCTTGGCTGGGTCCCCGTGGCGCTCATAGACCAGCGCCCGCACCCGGCAGGGCTCGGCAGATGCGGAGAAGGAGGAAGCCGTCGGCCCGCGGCGTCCCGAAGCCCGAAACAGCCCCGGCCGCAGCCGCCCGAAGAGGGCTCGTGCCCGGCGTAGTGCGCCCGGGCCCCACATGCTGCCTTCAGCCAACACGGAAGCCGGTCATCCGGATACGTCATCCTTCCGCGACCGCGCTCTGGCTCCGGCCTCCCGCCCCGCCCCAGGAGAAGCCCCGCCCCCAGGCGAAGCCCCGCCCAGGGACCCTCCTCCTCCTCCGGGCTCTTTTTTAAAGGGCCATGTCCTTTCCCCGTAGCCCACGCGGTGGCGCTTAGGCACCTGGCTTCACAAGAGTCCGGGTTAAACGGGGAGCTGCTCCCCACGGGGAATCTGGGATTGGCCTGCCTCCGGGCTGGCTTCAGCTTCGCTTCTCACAGGGACGCCTTCCATTATCGAGTGCCCCCCGCGCTGGTGCCCCGCGGTTCCGGCGTTGGGCTGCTGCGGGCAGCACTTGAACCCACAGCTTCTCTGCAGGAGGGCGATGAAGCTTGCTATCCCCGTAAAGATGTACATTTTTGAAAACCCCCAACGGCGGGCGTTCTGCTCTGCCCCATAGGGTCACCACTACTCAGAATCGACTCAAAGGCAGGTTTTTTTTGTTTTTAAGCTGAAACACTGCTAACCACAAGATCAGCTGTTCGAAACACCAACTGCTCCCTCCAAGAAAGCTGAGGCCGTCTCCTCCTGTAAAGATTGACAGTCTTAATTGTATGAGCCTCAATAAATTGATTTTAAAAAAATTGACAGTCTTGGAAAGCCGATCGAGGGTGGTTATAACTCAGAATCAGCTGTTGACAGTGGGTGTGGTTTAGTAACCTGCTTTGCTATACTGAGTTGAGGGTATATGTAAACTGATATAGACGCAAGAGTGCCTGGCTTGGCGTTCCAGAATCTGGGTTCAAAGCCTAGCCTCGTTGGCCAGATGACTGAAACTCTGAGTCTGCTTTCTCTCCACAGAAGGGGGAGAATGTGTCTCCTCCAGGGCTCTTGTGAGGACAGAATGGAATAAAAGAAGAATGTTCTTTTACTTTTCTTTCTTTAAAAAAAACAAACAGTTGTAGTAGCACTTCATCCACATTCAACAATTCAATCATATCAAGAATAGTTGTACAATTGGCACCATATTCAATTCTAGAACATTTTCTTCTTCCTTGTGCTTATTGTTATTCATGTAATTATATATTTTTTCAAATTGTGGCAAAAATATACACAATAAAATATTCTCCAATTCCACAGTTTCTCCTTGTATAATTGTGCCATTGATTATACTCTTCATTGTTGATATCCTTTTCCAAATTATTCCACCATGTAGACTCAATGCCCCTGTTGTTAAGAAACAACTCTTTCCCTTTCACCCATGGTAACTATTGGTCCAGCTGGGTTTCTTCTTCTTCTTCTTCTTCTTCTTCTTTATTAGTAGTTTTATTATTATAGTATTCACAGGTCTTACACTTCCATGGTAAAATCACTTTTAAAATGAGCTGTATACACATCATCACAATCAATTCTCGTGCTCCCTCCCTAGAAGAGCATTCTTGTGGATTTGAAGGAACTTTGTAAAATGCTAAGTGTGTTAGGATATAAGGGAAGACTCATAAGGAGAGGACTCCCTTAAAAAGACTTACACCCTAGAAAAGAATTAAACGAAGGAATGGAAATAGTTTGTCAAAAGGTAATAGCTCAGTAAAGATGCTAGATCTTGTTTTTAGGGAAGGAGAGACAGACATAACTAACAAAGATCCCGGTTGAACATCAGAACATGATTGCTGGAGTTCGAAGGAGGTGTGCTCCTGGGTGGGTGGCGGTAGGAAGATGGAGAAGGCGTTGTTGGAGCAAGCCCTGTGCTTCCCACTCTCTCTCTCTACACCCGCCCCCCCCCCCAAACCAAACCAAACCAAACCCATTGCCGCTGAGTGATGCTGACTCCTAGCAACCCTACAGGAGACTTTCCTGTGAGACTTTCCGGGACTGTAACTCTTGACGGAAGCCGAAAGCCCATCTTTCTCCCTTGGTGTTTCGAACTGTTGTTGTCGATCACAGCCCGACACACCAAAAAAAAAAACAAAAAAAAAACCATATAGGAACAAAAAGCGCAGTCGCCATTGAGTGGACTCTGATTCATGTGCTCCAGAGTAGGACAGCACTTCAGTGTAGGACAGGGGTTCTCAACCTTCCCCATGCCACAACCCTTTCATACAGTTCCTCATGTTGTGGTGACCCCCCAACCATAACATTCTTTGTGTTGCAAAATTGTCATTTTGCTACTGTGATGAATCAGGCAACCCCTGTTAAAGGTTGTTCGACCCCCAAAGGGGTTGCGACCCACGGGCTGAGAACCGCTGTTGTAGGATGTGTTCCATAATGCTCTCTATAGCTGTGCTCTTGTAGAAATGGGTTGGCAGGCCTTTCTTTTGCAAACCTTTGGGTCAGTAACTGTGACAGGTACATAATATCCTGTCAACTTGCTAAGGGGTGGAGTCTAGTCTGTCAATCAGGTCGCTGCTTGGTAACCTCATTTGGAGGCGTGGAGGAGATAAATAGCTCACTGGAGGCCCGATACACACTCTCTTTGGGAGACATTCCTGTTGCCAAGCCATATGGAGCTACACTGATGGAGCCAGAGCCCTGAAGCTGAAGGAGCCACATGGAGACCCACACCAGCCCTGAGATGCTTACACTATCACTGGATCCACAAGACTTTCCACCCGCTGGCCTGTGATCTTCCTGCATTCAGTGTAATTGCATGTATTGCTTGAGTCTGAAGAGGAATTTACCAACTGGTATAGGACATATGGGCCAATATCGGACTTAGGGACTTGATCTGGATGGGGCTGGGATGTTTTCTTAATATACAATTACTCTTCATATAAAATTCTTTCTTATACACATATGTTTACTTGGACTAACACAGGAACCAACTGCTTCATTGTTCGCACCACACAGCATAGCCACCTCCCAAGGATGCACCTTAATTAAAAACAAAGCAAAATCCCCCACCAACCAACCCCTCCTGAAACTACCGTGTAGTCCATTCTGCCTCATGGCAAGTCCATGTGTCTCAGAGTAAAGAACTACAGAATCTTAGAGAGAAGTTGAGTTTACCTTTTTTTTTTTATATGTTCCCAAGAATATCCTGATGTTGGTGGTCCAGGAGGCAGGCTTTGAGAAACAATGAGCCAAGGCTTTGGAAGACTAAGGAGGAACACTTCCTTCCTCTGGACTTGATTGACCTGGAAGTCATTAGAGGCTTGATCTGATTAAGGATGAGTAACTTGGACAAAACCTGGCTTCCAGTCCTGACTCTGCCATTTGGTCATGGGCAAGTCACTTGGCTTCTCCCTGTCTCCATTTTCTTATCCTTAAAGTGGGCAAAGGAGGCAGGACATAGCAGTACCTACTTCAAGGCCATTGGGAAGATCAAGTGAAATGTTAATTCATGTGAAGCATTGCAGCATTGAGCACACAGCTTGGCACAGGAAGTATTTGGTAAATGCCACGGGGTTGCTGTGAAGATTCAATGAGAAACATTACATGTAAAGCACTCAGATTAGGGTCTGGTTCATAGCAAGTCCTCAATACGTGTCAGTGTGTGTTTTTATTATGAACGAACTTCCGGGCTCCTGATAAAGAGCTCCACAGTTGTACACACATACCCTGATCTTGCTGAACTCCTATTTTAATGGTGCCACTGGGCCTGCTGATGCCAGGAGGTGCACAAGCAGGCTTCTGCTGCGAGTTTCCGAGGACACACTGAGCCATTGCAAGGATCTTTTCTACCAAGTTGATTCCTCCAGAATTCCCTCGGCAGTATGCCAGGAAGCCTGGACAGTCATCCAGCAGGTCTGCCTCCTCAGCTCTGGGAATGGTTCCCTTTCCACCACTATCCCCATGCAGTCCTGGCCACCGGTTCTTGTTTTACCTGGCCAGCCAACTTCTCCCTAACTGGGAATCCTTTCCCCGCATCCCTCCTTCCCCATGTCTTCTTTCCCCGCTCTCCAGAATGATTTTGGTCGCCCCCTAACAAGAAGATCAGATTTTTGTCTTTCCTTTGCTTGAAGCTCTTCCATGACTCTGAAAATGTAGGGCAAACCAGAAGTGACAGTGCTTTGGAGAACACCATGAATTGTTGTCGACACGTTAAACCTAAAAATGTACAAATAAAACCCCCAAATCTATGATGCTCTTTAGCTTAGTCTATTCTTCACTCTCACCACAGATATTCACTCCAGCCTTTGGAAGGAGCCCTGGTGGGGTAGTGGGCTTTGCACTGGGTGGCTCACCACAAGGTCAGCAGTTTGAACCCACCAGCTGTTCTGAGGGAGGAAGATGAGACTTTCTATCCTCGTAAACATGGACAGCCTTGGAAACCCAAAGGACAGTTCTTATAGGATTGCTGCAAGTTGGAATCGGCTGGATAGCAGTGAGTGAGTGACGGTCTTTATAAAAATGTATGGATGGCTGCCCCTCCCCCAAGAAGAATTTATCTCAAAGGACGGCACTGAATCCGCAGCTTCGGGAGAGGGATGTATCTGATCGGAGCACACGGGAGCAGATGA